TACTTTAATTTTTTCAGAACACAACCATACTAAGGTTACTCAAATGTTAGGTTAAAAACAAAAGTAAAAATCGTAAAAAAAAATAAAATTTTTAAAATCATTAAGTTAATCTCAATTTAAAAAATATTTTTTTTACGAACCTCATCTGTCAATCTATTATAACAGAGCCTAACATTAATGGCTTTATCTCCATATAATAAAAATATATTTTGATGACTCCGTGGCGCAGTTGCAAAGGCTTCGGCGGCGGAGGTCGTGGGTTCGATTCCCACACGGGACAAATATTTGTGTGACCCACAGATAGTTCTTTCGCATCTGGGTGTTTGTCCGCGTGAAATTTATGTTTGTAAAACGTCCCTACAACACAGGATAATGTAATTCAAAGTAAGGGCAATGTTTTTGACTTTAAAAGAAAAAGAAATATTATTATTGTTATTCCTTTTATATTACTGTGGTAGAAAATTCGCAATTTATTTTCATAAGAACTGGTGTTATCTCTTAATCGAAATGAAGAAGACTGAGAGAATAATATTATATATTTTTGAACCACGCGTGCAGTCGTGTTCTTTCAGTGCTTTAATTTTCAGAAATGTCAAGCATGAACATTTATCGTAATCCGTCAACAATTATTTTGCATTTAGCTTTCTAAAGAAAGTTTGTATGTCATTACGTCGATTTAGCACAATTGCTGTGACCGAAGGGTCACACGAAAGTAATAAAGCAGTACAGTTTAAAGTTAATTATTAAATCACGTCATTTTTTTCATATCATTATTTTATATGGTGTAAAAGTCAAACCATCGAAAAGCGGGAATAGAATTGATTTAGACAAAGAACAAAAAGATACGAGGTGTGTTAGTTTATATTAATGCTAAGAGCTACTACCGCTTTCTTGCTTATTAAATATATATGTTTATAATTTTTTTCTTTAAAAACTTTTGTTTGTGGGGTTCTAGTCTTAGATGGTAAACACATGAATGCAGTAAAAATCTATTCACTCTTGTCTCAAAGATACATATAATACATTGATGTAACGATTAAGACTAAAAATCCCGTGATAGTCAGGGCGCTATGTTTTTAATTCAAAATACTCGAGCAACCTGAGTTCAAATCCCAGTGCCCCTGAAATTAATAATTTTAGAAGCTGACTTATCACATACCCAGCGGTGAAGGAAAACATCGTAATTTTCTGCATATTCTGGAAATAGCAATTAAAAAAAATGTTACGAAGATAATGTGAAGTACTGCCAATCAGCTGTAAGGTCGCGTGGAAGACTATTTCCTAGGTTCAAGATTTCGTTTCTATCATAAAATTAAATAAACAAACATCACTTTTGTACAGTCACAGTTACTATGTAAATACATGCATACATGAAGCCGTATACGGTAATCGCATTATCTTAGTAAACCATTTTATATTTGAGGAATGTGTTAAACCTATCTACAGTTGTAGACTTTAATAGCCTCTATAGAATAATATGAGTATAACAGGGATAAAACTGTGCTCATAGATGTTCTACTCATTGTCAGTAGATTGTCATTCAGTATACTTTACCATACTATCATAACTTTTTCTCAGTCTATGTTAAAGTTTTATACATCTACAGTGGATTCATAATGAGCCGCAACATCATATTATCCTTTAAACGAGCATTGCTTTCTTTATTTTTTATTTTTTTTATTTCCAAAATACATGATTTACCAAAAAAATATCAGTACCACCAGGTACTATTATTAATGTGATGTTTAAATATGTAGCTAATAACTAATGAGTACTATTAATAAGTACTATTACACAGGAGTGATGATTGTACTACAGTATTTATAAGTGATCTTGGGAAAATATTGTTTCATTTTAGAGGACTAGATTGTTTTAGAAAATGATATTTGTCGACCGTCAAACTGGAAGATATGACGAGATGACATTTTTAACATCTAAGATAGCAAAATTCGATTGAAACCCTGTACTTACGGATCCCAAATTCATCATCACATCCGATAAGGAAACGCCGGCTAAAAAAAGCTTTTTATAAAATTAACAATGACTCTATATCATTCGTGTTCAAGGTCCATTCGTTACCATTTGAAAACTGCTATGGAACTTATTCACTTTTCCTGGTACGTGCATACTAATTAAACATGTATTGTAGTTTGCCGACGATTTTCCATGTTCATCGTAATTACTGTGCCTACTTAAGTCTGCGTGTTTAAGCGCATTCTGCGTAGCTTTAATAATGTTCCTTTCTCCGCTTTTATCAATTTCTAGAATTCCTTTGCGATTTCTTAGATCTGCATATTCAGTGTCGATGTCTCAACCAGGTAATGCTTCGTTTGCATTCTCTTATACATAACATGATATGTGTAAATTCACGCAGTAGTATGGTTCTCCTCATTAATAAGGTTCAGTTGAAGAAGCTCCCTTAAAAAGGCGTGTTATGACAACTGCCATCAGTGACCAATATTCACGGGAACCACATATCAAAATCTTTGACTTACGTTGCGTTGGCAAATTGGCTTTTCTTTATCCGTATTATATATATTTTTATTTGACAATATTTTTACTAGTGGTGAAATCCTAAAGAAGCGACAAACATTTGGTTAATTTGAAGAGACAAAATATTCTGTCGAATATTTTTTTTACCACTTCATCATATATGATCTCACTTGCCTCGTACCTAAAATATAGGAGTTGATTTCTAACCATACTCGATAACAAACATTTTTATATCACTCTAGTATCGATACATCCGATTCTTGTTTATATGTCGTATTCAGGTAGCAAGAGGTCAATCGTGGAACGTAAATGGATCATCGCGTGTGTTTTTAAACAAGATTGCTATAAATTTTATTGAATAAGTATATAAATTAGTATTGAGCTTATTGATGAAGGGTCGTTAGCATCTTTCGAGCCAGTCTGATAAATGTCCGTACCTACCCCGCTTTCGCGCGTCTTACATTTGACCTTGCCTTGCCTGGCAAGAGAAAGCCCTCATAGAGATTAATGTTAGTATTACGCGATTTGCAAATAAGTTTTCTAGTTAAAGCACCTTGGTAACTGTGTGACTTTACAAATTGTTCATCTGATGTTTTAGGGCAAGGAAATATAACTGAATACATGTTTGTTATCAAACACAATGGCATTACGCTTTTAATCGTACTATTTTATGTTGATTGACTAGACGTTTTAGCACCAAGAAATGATAACTGAACATTTGTAATAGGTCACAGAGTTATGCTTTAAATCACATTACTGATTATGTTGCTTTTGATTAACATTCACAATCCAAGAGGGACGGTACGCAATTTAGTATTTTTTTCAATAGTACAAATAATTGAAAGAGGATATAGTGCAAAAAATAGAGAACGACATGTATCGCGAAATCAAAAATATTTCAAGTTTGGACTTTCAGAAAGAATGACGTAAAGCTGACACAGAACGTTCCTGACAACCTATTTAAATAGATACATTGGAATAAGATGCCCACCGTGACAGGATTTTGTAGTTTTTATGTGTCCATTACAATTTTAATGTGAATATTACATAACTGAGAATTTTAAGACCAAGTTGGCGGGATTGTGATAACTTACAAAGCAAGCCATTAATAAAAAGAAGAAGAAGAAGGAATAATAGAAGATAGTGATAATTGAAGATAGTGATCGTTCGATGAAAAAATAAGTAATTTTTCAAAGAAATACGCATTCACAAGTATAAAATAAAAGTTGGTGTACATGTATTAGAAAAAGCTTTTAAATCATAAGGTGTTAGAATATTGTTTTTTATTGACCCTTTGGAAACTAGTTACTAACTGTATATTGTAGGTATAATCGTTTTCTGTTATGATACTTAAAGATTTTATTTGTTTGGTTTAGTTTTGTTTGCCATAATTGGCTTTAAATATTTAATACCCATTCTAAATTATATTGACCATAACCGCCATGATTACTTTAACATCGTACTGCAATACAAATGTAAACAAATAATAAATTTGTGAGTAATCATTTATAATGTCCAAACATACTTAACTAACGCTCTCGAAAACGTTCACCGGATTTTAATGTATTTCACCGCTTGAACAGCCATTATGGACTGCCTTCTCTTTCGCTCAACGCTGTGCGGTTTCCTTGCGGCGCGCGAAACAACAATATTATTGTACCGTTTTATACATTTTCTTGCGGCCATGTGAGACTCGTCGAAGATTCTTGATTACTAAGTGTATTTGTATCGATCCTTCCTGGTCGTGATTTGTAGTACAGGTTGCTAAAAGCTTCAAAACTCCTATTACGAATTTGGTATTTAGGGAGAAACGAGATCCAACAATGCTGAGATATAACTAAAATTTCTGAGCTATCTCTTATTACATTTCGATTTTTTTTAATGTATATTAAGTACCAAAATCAAGATGAAGTGAGAAAAAGAAAGGCTTAAAAAACATCATAGTACAGTATACCTTTGTTATAAATGTTTCGTCTATATTTACAGCATACCTGTAAATATAGACGAAACATTTATAAAACTATGAATAAGATTAATATATTTAAAAGGATTTAGAGGTATTAATAGCGGCTATTTTTACATTTCAGTGTTACTACGTAATTACTTTTTATTGATAAAATCGGCCCCTGCTTCACTTAAATTTCATAAGAACAAAAATATCCACGTAGTGGATAATCCACTAATGAGTCAAATCCACTAATGAGAAATATCCACTAATGAGTCTATCACTATTTGTCAGACAAATATTTACTTGCCACTACGGAACCCTAAAACAGGTGTTGAGCGTGCTCTTAACCGGAATGTTATCATACAATCGTGGACTATTTAGCATTGCAGCCAGTATCGCTCCCGCTTCGCGTCGCGCCAGTCGCGATCTGCTCGGAACCATAGACAACTTTGCCGCGCAAATTCAGATGTGGAACAGGGAAGAAAGAACACGTCGGACGTTCAACGTCGCTCAAAGTAAATCTCGTGCGGTTTATTTTTGCCTTTAACTTTTAAACCGCATGAGATTTACTTCAATCGATGCTGAACGAAACCCGGCGCCGGCCACGTGGACCCTCGACGGATGTATGATTTTAGGTCATATACTCAGCATTTACGATATTGTTTGTGATATTTTATGTTAAAACATTTGTTTATTATCGTACAATTGTTGAAACATTATTTCTCTCCACTTTTAATATTTTTTTGTAGGTTTCTTGATAATGTGCTACGGATATAAGTACTCTGTTTTCGGTTCCATAAAGAGTTAATAATCATACATATTTTATTAAATATACCTGCATTTTAAATAAATGCACGTCAAAGTTATTGCCCAGTAAAAGTTATTCAACAATTGTTACAATGTGTGTGTATGTGTACATACACATATATTAAGTATATCAATGTTTCCGTGTCAACAAATATGAATAACATCTCTATCAGCTAACATTATCTTTATATACTAACCACTATCTTGTAATTTATATTCCTTAAATCTTAAAATCTAAGCTCGCAATAAGGCTTTTCGATCGAATCAAAGATCAAAGAATCGAAACAAAAAATTTCAATTACATAAATTAAAATAGTTAAGAAATTAGTGACATTTTAATCACAAAACTTCCACCATTAGTAGATAACAGTATTTTATTGCGGTCTACGCAAAGATAGGTATCTTGTGATTTTTCATAAAGTACTTTAAGATATTTGGGCCTCTCCTATTATTATTCTAAAGGAGACATGAGTTATTAAGTAGTTGAAAAGATTGACAATGGGTCCAAATGATAAATCTTAGATTATTTTTATGTGAAAGTTGTAAAGTGAGCGGGTAGTTCTCCTGATGTTCAATGAATACCGTCACCCATAGACATTTACAACACCCGATAGCCAGCTTATGCGTTGACAACCATTAAAAATATAGGCCCCGTTTACCTCACTTACGAGAAAATATAATACTTCTACTTCACGCCGGTCTGTGGTACTTCCCTGAACAAGGCTGCCAAATTGTGCAACAGCAAAAGCTGTTGCGTGGCCCTACCACAGTAAAAGATTAAACAAACAGCAAAAACAACTATTCAAACTACTTTCAAATTTCGCAGAAACCAAGTGTCTTTATAGTAATACTATAGCGAAGATATGCCTATTCTCCATTACATTAGTAGTCGAGCACTTGCTTTAATGGGAAAGAAATCAATTTCAATATTCGACGTCCCCTTCAAGTTTGAAGCGATTAAGAAAATGACGTTGATGGGAAAAATCGAAATAAAATAACGAATCGAAGAATTGGGAAGAACAGAACGAATCTGGATATTGTTATCTTGGACCAACAAACTGTCATACAATCATACATAATATATCATTTAGATTATAACCATATGAATGCAAAGTAGAAGTCCTCTTCAAAACTATAATTTAATCTTATTCCAGATCGCCCTCCTTCTTGCTGGTATCATCGCCATCAAGAAGATAATATCGCAAAAGAGCAGCGGCGGTGGCCACGAAAGCCATGGCTGGTCTTCCGGCGGTGGCAGCGGGGGCAGCGGCGGCTGGGACAGGAGATCTCACAACGACGTATCTGACTTAGCGTATTCGGCTTACAAGAGCGACTAGTGGTCGACAGAAATCATTACTTATAAGAGTGGAAAGATTAACAACTGTAAATTGTACTCTTTAATTAATTTGGTAATTTATATACAGTTAGACGCGATTTATTTATAACTAGAATTAGCGACGGTAGCAAATGAGCTCTCTCATCGATAATTTATTGTGAAGGCCGTGTTACTAAACGTGCCTTCTATTTACCGTACTTTCAAAATTAATTCTCAGTTTACATTGACTTTGTTATAGCTTTATACTTACATAGTTTTGTTGAGGTTACGATATGTACACTTGTCCATCATCGAAGTTTGATTAAATTATTTGTAAGCTCGTGGTAAAATTGTTGCGTTAGAGAGGTAGTCGGTATAGTAAAATTTTAAATCTTTCAACCAACTAAAGTAAACAGAGCAAAGAACAATTTAACATTATGTCATTGAATTATTGCACTTTATTTAAAAAGCTATTTTTAAAGCTTTTCACTATGGTAGGGCCACGCAGCAGTTCCAAAGTAACAAAGAAGCACACCACGTCCTCTCAGAATACCGGGATGCCGTAGAAATACTCCTGTGTTTTGCCTGATGAGTGGGATAACAGTGGCTAACTTTTTAAATGTCGCAACGCATCAGCAAGTCCAAAGGGATTGCAGAAGTCCGTAGGTGGCTGGTAATTACGTAAAATCAGGAGATCCGTCAGCTCGTTTGCTTACTTCTTACATGAATATAAAAAGCTAATGTTGTCAATAAGCTATGATTCATAGAGGTATAAAATTTAATATTAATGAAGTGCTGCTGATAAAAAGACTATGAAAACATCTACTTGCTGTGCCTATACTAAGGCACAAAAGGTAAAACTACGTAATTAATATTCGATACACGTGTTACAAGCGGCAAAGCTGTTAAGCTACTGATGACGTCACTGAGTAACTGAGTAGGCTATTAATTGCATATTGTTTATAAGCTATTCTTCATAATTCTTCGTTTTAAATAGAGAATATATTTTAAATTATTTTCTTATCATAAAATATGTAAAATTTAAAAATGTCAAATGAATTGTTATCAGTTGTTTAAAACTACATGTTTTATTGAACCAAAATAACTTGTATTTGTGTTTTTTTTTTAATTGTACATTTAAATTAAATTTAGTCTGAGGGATATGTACTATTTATTAACTAAACATTGTCAACTATGTTGCTGACAATTTCAAGTACTTTTTATTAAAAGGTTTGTAAGTAGAGGCTAAGGTAAAAAGTATTTTTTATATAATTTAATAATTTATTGAATAAAACTATCCCATGATAGAAATATTTTTGTCATTTATCATTTTTTTTAATTTATATTTGTTATTTATATTTTATTTATATATTTCTGTTATAACTCGCTTTAAAGACATGGCTTAAATAGTTACTGACAATTCTTTCAATTACATAAAAATACCAAGTTATTTCCATGTTTAAAAGCCAGTTTCTCGATTGAGAGACACCAAAACGTAGACTACATCTACGTTATGTCTAGTCAAGAAAATGTGGGTGTTATTCGATGATACTGATATCGAATATGAAGGCTGATATTTTCGATTTCATCCCTTCCAATAAGCTAGCCAATTTTTCAAAAATATAGTAATATCCCCAGGGCCTTTTATACTCTAGACGGTTTCAGTCTAGTTCACACCGGTTTTATGCATTAGTTATTAAGCTGCATCCGATTTAATGATTAATATAGGCACACAGCTTAGACGCATGTAAGACTTAGTTGTTGTTTCTGGTTCAATTTTGTTAAAAAGCCTAGAGCGATCAATTAATTTCCAGAGTGTGTTATCGTTTAAATAATCGCACAAAAGTTCCTTTACAATTCGTTTCAATTTAGCAACTGCTTTATTTAGAAAGTTTTTTGGGATTTTTTTTGTTAACTTATGCATTATCGCATAAAAGATTTACTTATTCTACGCCATCTAGATCCTCATCTAGTTTGCATACCTCATACCTCGCGAACCATCCTCATCGACCCGGTCGAGGAAGGGGACTTAGATACGTCGGACCCACCGTCGGTGGTCCCGCCGGATAACTCTACACCCACAGCTAGTGTAACAACAAAAACAATAGTTCACCCTCGCCTCCAAGCACGGCGAGACCAACACAACGCGTACACAAGGTACACCCGCGTTCCAGGGCGGTTCTCACCGCCCTCAGCCACCGATTAGCTAAAAAACACAGTCGACGGCCATTGGGGTCCCGGTCCGAACCGTAACCTCGATGGCCCTTAGATGACATACTATTGTTAAACGCACGCATGAGCACATCCGTGGCCCTACCCACAGCGGAGGGCCCAAACCCGTGGGTTCTGGCTAGCCCACCGGTTCTGTGTCAGATGAAGCTTTAATAGTCTCAGGACTGAAAGCAAAAACATCAGTTAATACAAGATACAAGATACCTCATACCTCTATGAGGATGATAGAGCGTGACAGGAGTCATCATAAGGGGAGGCAGGGGTGATCAGCTTGCCTGCACCTGAAACGGTGTTTTCATTTAACGTTTAATACATCATAAAAAGGCACGGACTGAAATCAATATTATTTGCGTTTGCTTTAAAAAAAAGCGCGTGTGTACTTATGTACACGCCTTACAAGTTATACTTCTTTGGTGTAACAAGGTTAAAATCTTTATAATTTTTTTTTCTTTCACCTTATTCTACGTTTGTAGAAAAAACCACACTAACAATATATAAAAGGTATCTAAGACATTGAAAGTTTTATTATAACGCATTATCCCGTTAAATAAAGTTTATTTAAATATCACAAAATAAATATCCTGAATACAGGTGTCAGTTCTCACGCAAATATACGTAGATATCTAGCTAACTTCCGGGTGTCGGTTTTTCGGGACAGTGTACGCGCGCATCTTAAAAAAAATACTTTCATCATTTGTCTCTGACGCGCCAAAAGAAGTATAACTTCAAAAACATATTATGTAGTAATATTATTATTAAGTCCAATAATGGGATTAAAGTGCAGTTAATACCTTTCCAACATGTTGTAGGGCTTCAAATGCGTTGTTGATTTTTAATCCTACATCTAAAGATACATATATTATGCTGGTATCATTTACCATGTACGAACGATATGGTATCATGTACGAACCGTACAGTTTCTTATTCTGTTTCTGCTTCGTGCTAATCCTCATTTAATTAAACAACATAAACAAAAAAAAATTTAAAAATCAGACTGTTAACTAATTCAAGAGTTAATTTTCAACATTTCATCAACTCCAGGCCATCCACCAGGCTTGAGGTGGCCGGGCGCTAAGGGCGCCAAGCCTGTACCTCGGTTAAGGGTGACTAAGCTCAAGGGCTCCCGGGGGAGCCTCGACTCGGGCCGTCACGCTATTATTATTATCATGGGTTGGGAAGCCGTCAAGCTCTTCTTAGGTCGCTTTAGTGGACGCTCCATGGAGTAACTAGGCTCAAAGGCCCCCAAAAGGGGACCTCAGCTTGGGCTGTTAGTTCATACCAGTTTAGCATTCCGATTCGATGGTGGAGAAGGCCGGACCTCGGCTCGATCGGTAGCTGCAGTCTGGCTAGACGAATTTCTGAAGCTATCATTACTACCACTTCGGAAACTGATCGCACTGGGGGGAAAAGTGGCGGTAGAAACTCCAGCAACGCTTCTATCATTAATGGGAGAAAACCTGCCAAGTTCGTGGCGGAACCTACGGGTGTGTTTTTTGTGTTTCTTTAATTGTTTTATCCTGAGATCGGGGACTTGTCGTGGTCTAATCCATTTGTGGCGGAACATACCTAGCAGTAAGGGTGTAGGTGTCGGAACTTAAGATCAACGGATTAGACCGCATCCCTTGAGTTCCCTCATTTACACAGGTCGTCACACCATCTAGTCGATCCATCGTCTCTCATCCTACACTGTGATGGCCAACACATCGCTGCCACTCAAGAATCTTCCCCATCGGTTATCGGTTCGACGAGCTATGGCCGGCCCATCGCCACTTCAGCTTACTAATCCCCTGAGATATGTTGATTATCTTTGTTCTTAAACTGTTTAAAAGATTGGAACATGAATATCGCTAAAAATATATTATACCATATTATTTAATTATATATTTTGTCATACGTGAGTATAAATGGTCATATCTATGAACTATTTATGATCTATTTAGTATGGTACGACCACGCAACAGTTCGCTGTTTCAGGAATGGGCAGGTCAATATTTTCTGAACCTACAAAAGCTCTGCCGCTCTTTTATTGCAAATTGATATCAGGGACCAAAAAAGGCAGTGTTATAATTTTGTGACTCTATCAAAGTCACAAAATAAATTCTGTATTTTCCCCCTAACATCTGCGAATTTCAAGCACACAGGTTAAAAACAATTCATAAGGTATGTATTAACAAATATAGAAGTCATTGCTATTTATGTTGAAATCAAAATAGCAGCCATGCTGTTATTAATTATGTTCAGAAATAATTACTTATTACATTCAAATTCTTACTACTCATTGCTGAAAACCATGTGTGTGTGTGTAAACAGTTCTTATTTAGTTTTTTATGTTTTCTTTTCTCTATAAAAATACCGCTATCTATCCATGACTTAATGAAATTCTTTCATTCATTATCTTATGATGAAGTGAAGATTCTAGTAGGTACTTAAATATCTTATCCCCCTACTGTTTTACATGGAACATCTAAAAACCGCACCACAAACAATGATGTGCATTCAATGGCGCCTTTCAGCGCTAAAATAACGTTCAAGAAATTTATTTGATGAATGGTTTAGTTAATAAATTTTAAAACTAATAATAGGATGCATACGAACGAATTTTATTCCAGTGAAATTATATATTCTAAGATGGTGATGATGTCCCAGAAGAATGTTGATATTCACAAATATCTGTCTGAGGGACTTTGCTATTACTTATGTGTTAATGAAACAGCTTATAATATTTCTCACGTGGTAACGAATCTAATGATAAAGTAGAACAGTAACTAAACTAAAACAAAACTGCTT